AGGTAGGGGGAGTTTTCGTCATTTCTTCAAATAGATTTTCAATATCTTGCTCTCTCTCTTCTCCTTCTGGCACCCCTATAATGCGAATGTGGGTATGCTTGAAGCTGTCCTTGAGGCTACTTACACTATCTTCATATTTTTAGATTTTTTTTCGTTTTGCTCTTCTGATTGGATGTTTTTGCTTCCTCATATTCCAAATTGTTTATGTGATCCTCAGAATCCTCCACTCTACTATTGAATCCCTGTAAATTATTCTTTACTAGAGGCCCAATGCACAAATTTGTGCACCAGTGGGGTCCCTCGGCCTGGCCTGCGGGATCGGGCCAAAAACTGGCTGACATCCCCCAAGGGGTCCCAAATTGCAAGAGGGCACAAGCCAGGTCAGGGATCCCACTGGTGCACGATCGGGGCCACGGAGGAATATGGGAGGTTGGCCAGTCAGGGAGGGACTACGGGAGAGCTCCAGGGTGTATCTGGCCCATCTCGCTCAGTCCCAATTGGCTGGACCCCAGCAGCAAGCTAACCTACTGATTGGAGAATCTGCCCCCTGGTCGTCAATGCACATCATAGCAACTGGTTGACCCATTGACTATCTGCACCCTAGTGGTCAGTGCACATCATAGCAAGCAGTTGAGCATCCTTAGCATATCATAAGCATATTATGCTTTGATTGGTTGAACGGCCAACCGGTCAACCAAACACTTAGCATATTAGGCTTTTATAATATAGGATTTCAGTTAGTATATGCTTTGTTTCTGACTGATCCTTTTCCATGTCTTTGACATTCTCACAAGATCCTTGAAAATCTCACTAAGTACCTTGAAGCTCTAATTAATTCCTTGAAGCTCTCATTAAGTCCCTTATAGCTTTCATTAAGACCCCTGAGTAACCTTACAACCATTGTTTTGAACTCTGTATCCAATATTTTGCTTGCTTCCATTTCTTTAATTTGTGACATGTTTCTTTGTCTCTGCATTTTGGCTGTTTCTATGTATTTCTAGGTAGAGCTGCTATGTTTCCTGGAATTGGTAGAGTGACCTTGTGTATTAGTGGCTCAGCCTCCTGTCACCTGAGTTAGACACTCTAAGTGTGCCCCTATGTGGACTGTGTGCACAGTCTTGCTGTAGTTGAACCTTGATTGCTGTTGGCATCACTGGAAGGAGTTGACCTCCAGGCCAACTGAATGTGAGGACCAGTTGTGACTACAGTAGGAGAGCTGCTGTGCAGGAGACATCCCTATGGAGCAGGACTTGCTTCAATGGGGCCTTGGTGCCTTGAGTGTGGATGTATAAAGTTGCAACCTGGTATGGTCTGAAGCTGCCCAATAGATGTACTGGCTCTGGTGCATCCCAGGAGGGGCAAAGTCAGCCACTGCCTGGGGCCACCTGGCAGGAGCTATAGAGAGATATGTAGACGGCTGCTACTTGTATTGGGGTAGGAAGTGTCCAGGCAAGGCCCAGCTGTGAAGCAAGGCAGGCTACTGCTAGTGCCTAGTCCTGGGCCTTTATTGATAGGTTTGATGCCAGCTGCTACTTGTTTGAGAGATTTTAGAAAAGTCTGAAGTCTGAGCCAGGACAGGCCATTCATATGGAAAAGCCGCTGCAAACAGCTTGGGTGTGGTTGCAAATGAGATGGGATGGGATCTCAGGGAATCACAAGAGTGAACAGTGTGAGCCACACTGATGGAAACTGAGATATGACTGCCAGTCAGCTCTGAGATGGTGGAGGTCCCAGCACAGGAACAATGAATCCTGTGAGTACCCCTATGTGGGAGAAAGCCACCCCCAAGTTCCTGTCCTGATGCCAGATAGTTCAGTTCCTCCCCAGATGTCCCTGGATTCTCCCAATGTCGCCAGTCAGCTCTGGAGCTCAGAGGAGGCGGGATCATGTAAGTTTGTGCTCTGGCCCTTTTAAGAGGAACACTTGGGACTCCAGCAGCTTCCGTGTCACTCAACCACAATATTTACTGGTTTTTATAGTCCAAAGTTACAGGGACTTCTCTTCCCAGCTCTGGAACCCTGGGTTATGGGCTGGTGTGGGGCTGGGACCCTCTGCTTCTCACAGGAGGGCTTGGAGATATCCCTCCCAATTAAAAAAACACCACACATGGGTGTGGGACTAGCCCCTCCTGTGCCTCCACCCCTCCTACCAATCTTGATGTACTTTCTTCTTTACTTCTCTAGTTGTAGGCCTTCCATTCAGCCAGATTTCAGGCAGTTCTGTATTTTAGTTGTAATTTTGATGTGGTTGTAGGAGGCAGCAAGTACCAGCATTTATCTATGCCACCATCTTGGTTCTCTGTTTCAGTTAGCTTTTACTAAATAATACACCATCCCCAAACTCAGTGGCTTAAAACAATGTTATATCTCTCAGTCCTGTGTTTTGACTGGACTCAGCTGGGATTACTCCTCAGGTGACAGGCACTGGGGGAACTTAGCTGGGGCTGAAACAGGCATAGCTCTCTGGCCACTTCAGGTGATCTCACTCTGCACCTAGTTTAGCCCAAGCCTCCAAGCCTCTGTAGTGGTTCTCAACCTGGGCTGCACATTAGAATCACCTGGGAATCTTTTTAAAATCCTGATTTCTGGGCCTCATCCTCCGGAAATTCTGTTTCTTTGTTATGGGGTGGGGCCACAACATTAGTAACAAAGAAACAGGAATTCCGGAGGATGAGGCCCAGAAATCAGGATTTTAAAAAGATTCCCAGGTGATTCTAATGTGCAGCCAAGGTTGAGAACCACTGCACTAGAGAGAGGATAGGCTTTGTCTATTTCCAAAACTAGAATTTTTCCTTAAGCACTGAAAAGCATATCTCAGCAAAGATTTTTCCCCTGCTAATCTGAGAAACCTTTTTGGGGATTGTGGGAAAGACAGATGCTACCCTGCAAGAGTGGCCACATCTCCAGAAGTGATTTAACACTTTTTAATTATTACGTGTACATGAGTATGATCTCATTTTTTAAAGTATATATAACACTAAAAAAGATATAGAAGTATCTCCAGCTATTTGAACTCTTGCTATCCAAAATCTATCAAAACTCAAGAATCAAGAGATTTGGCTAAGTTCTTCAATACTCAAACTTCTGCTACTGGCTCTCCTAGACTCAGGAATAAGTTTGGTTTGGATATCACAGTATCTCTTATAATCTGAAATCTCACTATCTGAATATGGCAACCCATTAAATATGCATAGTGAAAAGAACTTATACTCCAAAATGTTAACTTGTTATTTTTAGATAGTATAATCACAGGTAAGTACATTCTTCTTTCTGCTTCATATTTTCTAAATTTTATTTTTTCTTTCCAAAATTAAAAAAAATAAGTCTATATTGTGGACTTAATGTACTTGGAAATTTTTAAAAATTAAGTTCATACAGTAGATCAACTACATAATTGATTTAGATAATTATTTGATTAACTGACCTCCTCAAGGAAGTCTATTCTGGTTAAATGCAGACAATAGTCATCACGTGTCTCCTGTGAATTCCTCAACACATACACAATATGAAACACTTTTAGACTTTTTTTAAACCACAGAGTATCTAAAAAGTGTGTTCTAATGCCCAGCCTAGACTCTAGACTCCTTGAGGGCCCAAAGCTTGTTTCCATGGATGACACTGAATGTAGTACACACAGAAGTAATAGTATAATAATAATAATAAAGGTCTTTGACTTCCCTTCAGTTTTATCACCACACTGACTTTCAGTTAAAGGAGAACACTGTCTCAGGCTTTCCAGCTTGAGCTGCTGATTATTAAGATGGAGCCAAGCTCTTTCTGGAACGTGCAGGCACTCTTTAATTTAAAAATAAATTTTTTTTTAAATTAAGCTGAAAACTTGATAGCTTTGGTTTTTATGGCTGTTTTCTGAAGCTCTCAGAACTGGATCACTTGGATCACACTCAATCACTGCGGAAATCTTTTTAATGACTAATATCCTTCCTCTTTAAGAGAAAGAGACTAGAGGGTAGACTGTCTAAAAGTATTAATAAATAGACTGGTATTCACACAATGGATTAAAAGATATCTGGGCCCTAGATTAACTGCTATATTAATAGAATCTAAATATACAGTTACATACTCAACCCGAGAGAAGTTCGAAGAGGTGAAATTTAGCCAGTGCTCACTTCAAATGGATACTTACTGAAGTTTAAAGCACACTGTAAACCACCGTCAGGGTTGAATCATTTTTCCATTCCTTTCAGCATTATTTACCTGGATGTTTTGATGCTATGATCCCACAATGCACACCAGTTTCAGAAACTCAGTTTTTGCCACCAAAGGCTATAATTCTCTCCCCAAAAAGAATAGGCCAAAGACAAATAAGACAACGAATCTAGGTTTTTCAAGCATTATTACAATATTGACTTACAAAATTGCAAACCCCAATTGCAGAAAGTTCTGCAGCAGATGACTTCGGAGTGTCTCACGTGCAAATAAACATAAACAAAGGCCACTTCCGAAAGCAGAACGGAGCGTGCCTCCCTTCGATAGAACAGGTAGTTCATTTGAGGCAGCACTAGAGAAATGTCATTTCACTCCGCTAACCGCACGCCTGCATAAAGGTCCCTACTGTGGGAACGGCCCTTCGTGGAGTCCGTGTTGTGGAGGATGGGAAAAAGCGAAGACTATGCTCCGTGACACCACTACCCGCCCCTGCGGAGGCGGAGATGCTCGGATCTAGACTAGATTCTAAGCCAGGGTCGAAGGGGGACGCGGAGGGTCGAGGCGGGTGTCTGTCAGAGCTGCGACAGCCTCCAACTAGGAGCAAAACAGCGTCCCTGCAGCTCCAGGAAAACTTTCCCTCACCGCACCCCTTTCCTCCACCTGGAAGACATGCCAGCGGAGGTGCTGACAGTGCGGACGCGCGGGCCGGAACCCGCTGCCGGAGGGGAGAGGGAGGGAGCGGGAGTAACGGGGCACGCGGCCCGGCGGCGGCGGGGAACGCGGCAGAGAAGGGGAGGGGCGAGAGCGGCCTCTGCGAGCTCGGCCCGGACTCACCCGCTACCTGGAGGCCAGCCGCTGCCGCTCGCCGTCCGCCGGGCCCAGCCGCCGGGAGCGCCGCGGGAACCTCGGAAGCTCGGCTGCAGGAGACTCACTGCCGAGGGCCGCCTGGGGGGCGCGGGGCGGGGCCTCCGGGTCACGTGGCCAGGCCGCCTCACGTGACACCGACGCCGCGCGCCCGGCGAGCTCCCGGGTGGAGCTGCCCCTCTGGCCTCGCAGGCTCTTTGGCTGTGGGCCCGCAGGCCCGCGGCGTCCGCGGAAGCCGGTAGGTTGGGAGCCCAGCCCTCCGGAGGGTCGCGGTGGAGCTTGGTGGCCGCGGAGCTCACAGCCTTTGGTCCGGCAGGGAGCCAGGGACGCGCGAGGGGCGGACTCCGGCTGTCCTCCCGGATGGCATGGCGTGGCCCGGGGTGGGTCGGCCAGCCACCCCTAGAGACCAGGGCGGAAAAGCGGCTGGCAACTTCTCTCCACGTGCTGCTGCCGGGGATGAAGGGCCTCAGAGGAGGAGAGCTTGTTTTACTCCAGAGACGTGCCCCCGCATCCCTGCCCCCGCACACCGGTGCTAAAAAGCACCTGAGAATGGAGGGAGGAGGGAGGTGACACCTGCACCTAGAGGAGAAGGGAGTGGAGCACAGGCCCAGGTCATGGGAGAAGTCAGGGAACCTGGCTGTCAAGTTGGAAGGGACCTAAGACGGCAAATGGACCATGTCTTTTCTTAGTATAAATGAGTAAACCAAGGCCAAGAGGAGGGATGCTTCATGCCATTCCAGCCTATTATCTGCGGAGACCAAAGCACCTTCATAAAAAAAAGTTATTTCAGAAAAGACCCAGTGGGCTCCGCGGGATAAAGTTCAAACTTCTTGGCGTAACTTTCCAAGTAATCTTGTTCAAACTTACTTTTCCCCTTTGTGCTCCCATGAATAAACAGAAAAACACTTCATTTTCTAATTATCACCGAACAGCTCCACTGCCTACTGCAAGAAGCCTCCTTTTCCTCATCTTCGGCACTTCCTCAACAGTAGTCTAGAGGCGCTGGCTGCAGAGAATGCCTCTTTTCCTTGACCACTCAGGTTTCTTCCGATTACTACTTACTTTTTCCCTAAGTTGCTCTACTCCTTTTTGCATCTGTTCATTCTTTTGCCTCTGTCTGAAATACCTGGAGTCATTCCCCTCTCCCTCCTTGAAGAAAACCAGAACCAAACAATTGTTAAAACTGTAAAAACATTTTTATCAGAAACTATTGCAATACGACAATTGAGACCAGTTCTATACTGAGGGTTCTTTTCCCCAAAGGTTCTGAATAAAATCTGTTTTTACCTCCAGAGTTGTGGGAGGACTAGTCCTCTTTATGTTCATGCTAATAGATGACTATGCTAGTAAAAAGTATCTGCCAAGAACCTAATGAAATACAGTTTTTACAGCTTTAACTACTGTCAGACTCTGGTTATCTTTAACATCACCTCCAGGTATACATCAGCCTCCTAGTCATTGTTAAGAATCCAGGTCTAGCCCTGGCCGGTTTGGCTCAATAGATAGAGCGTCAGCCTTGACTGTGTTCAGTTCCAGTCAAGGGCACATGCCCAGGTTGTGGGCTAAATCCCCAGTAGGGGGCGTGCAGGCGGCAGCCAATCAATGATTCTCTTTCATCCTTGACATTTCTGTCTCTCCTCTCCCTTCCTCTCTGAAAGCAATAAAAACATATTTAAAAAAAAAAAAAAATCCAGGTCTAATACCACTTCTGTCTCCCCTGCATCTTCCCTGATTCAACAGCATCATCGATTGAGGTTCATTCGACACTGTCAACTGTAACTTCCCTGATTTCTAGGATGCTGTACATAGTCTGATGCATAAATCTCACATTGCCCAAAAATGTACTGTGCATTTCCTGTAAGGGGTAAATTATTTATCATTGTCTTCTTCCTTGGATTATAAATTCGTCTGGGCTTAGTGCAGTGCCCTCAATATCCACTAAATGAAGTGGCTTGACCAAGATCATAGCAGTTCAGTGAAAATACAAAAAAAAAAAAAAAAAAAAAGTCTAGTTTGCTCAAAGAAACTGAAGTCAATTTCTTTAGGCTATAACCTGATCAAAAGAACTTCTGTAAAACATGTTTATGTAAGAGAAAAAAATGAGGGTTTGGGGTTTGAGTAATCAAGTATTTGATAGAGGACAAATAATAGGTAGATTAGGAAGGGAGGAGAAGGCCTTCCAGGAAAGAGAGCAGTGTGTTCAAAGGTAGGGAGGCATGAATCATTGTTATTTATTTGGGATAAGCAAGTAACACTGTATGGCTGGGTTTAGTGGCCTTATTTACCTCTGGCACAACAAAAGCCGATTTAGTTAATGTTGATGTACTTGAAAGAATGACATATCAATTAGTATTAGTATTATTTATTGGACTGAGTAACTTTCCATCAGACAAATTATAAGCTCTTCACCTAAAATTGGCCTGTGGACTCATGCTAGGTGGGTTTTTTTACCTTTTTTTTCTTTAGTTCCAAAAGCTCTCTATAAATCTTATATAAAAAATAACAAAATTATTTGTTCCAACAATGAACTTTTTCTACAGGGCAAAAGAACTCAAGTTACAAGCACTACTTTAAGGAAAAAACTGGACTCTACCTCCAGAGTTGGGGAAGGACTACTCTTCTTTATGTTTATGCTAATAGATGACTATGCTAGTAAAAAGTATCTGCCAAGAACCTAATGAAATACAATTAATGTAAAGTTTAAGTTGGAATGGGACATAGGAGAACAATTCTAATCACTCTTGGGGACTTCAGAATTACATTTCAAAAATTAATCTCTCACCCAGCTGGCGTGGTTCAGTGGTTGAACGTTCACCTATGAACCAGAGGTCACGGTTTGATTTCTGGTTGGGGCACATGCCTGGGTTGTAGGCTCAATCCCCGATAGGGTTGCAGGAGGCTGCCTATGGATGATTTTCATCATTGATGTTTCTATCTCTCCCTCTCTTAAATCAATAAAAATATATTTATTTAAAAAGTTAATCTCTCAGTAAATGGAAAATTAGAACATTGTCTTGTGTTTGCTCCCTTTTTCTCCACTATGCTCTTCTGTGAGTGTCAATTTAGGCCATTGTGGGTCAGCCAATCCATCCCTACTCCCTTCAGCCGGACTATCTCACCCGAGGTGGGGGACGTCCAGCCCAGCCCACAAAATCATTTGGTCTGGCCCTGCCAAGGCAACTGCAGGTGGGACTTGAAATTCAATAAATCTAGGAGCTTTTTTCATAGCAACATGAATTTATATTCAGTGAGTTATATTTAGCAAAGGATGTTATAAATATCCAAATGGCCCTTGGCAGAAAAAAAGGTTCCCCACCCCTGAACCTCTGATTGAATGCACCTCTTCCACAATATTCTTTGCTAAGAAAATCTAAAGGTCCCTTACGTGGACAGTTGTTTTGCATAGGCCACTGCAAGGTTGTTGATATTGGACAAGCAAAAGTAAAAGAGATTTCAGTTACTTCTTCAAAGGCTTGAATATTATTTCTTCTGAGAGAAATAGCTGGGAGAACCCAGATTATCTTCATCTTCTTTGTTCCTTCCCTCCTCTTGGGGATGGTCAAGATTAAGAGAAATAGCCTTGGCCCATTTTTCTCAGTGGTTAGAGCGTAAGAAGGGTCCTGGGTTTGATGCTGGGTCAAGGGCACGTACCTCATTACAGATTCCCCAACCCCAGTGGGGATAGTGGGAGGCATCCAAGCGATACCTCTCTCATGTCGATGTTTCTCTCTCTGCCTCTCCCTCTCCTCCCTCCCTTCCACTCTTTCTACAAATCAATGGAAAAAAATATCGTCGGCTCTAACCGGTTTGGCTCAGTGGATAGAGCGTCGGCCTGCAGACTGAAAGGTCCCAGGTTCGATTCAGGTCAAGGGCATGTACCTTGGTTGCGGGCACATCCCCAGTAGGGAGTGTGCAGGAGGCAACTGATCGATGTTTCTAACCCTCTATCCCTCTCCCTTCCTCTCTGTAAAAAATCAATAAAATATATATTTTTAAAAATCCTCGAGTGAGTATTAAAAAAAAGATTAAGAGAAATAAGCTGGAGAACCACCAACAATGGTTACTAGTAAATAGGGAACATTTAGGTCCCTATTTAAGATTGCTTACCTGTTTTTGTAACAAACAGGAAATCTAATAGTCTCAAAGATAATAAAATTTATTTTGAGAATTGAGGATGACATAACTGCTTTAGCATTTTGCAAATGTAATAAAATATAGGATCTATCTAGAGAGAGATTCCTTGATTTTTACTTAGCTAAACAAGTTAAACATGATCAGTCACAATAAGTTTTACAATTTTAATCATTATGGATCAAACTCTTTGGGGATAAGGGAAGGGAGTGTGGGAAGATAACCCATGCACACAGACAATAGAGTGGTGAAGGCCTGGGGAGAGGGAGGGAGTGGGGGGAAGGCGTCAATGGGGGAAGAAAATGGGACATCTGTAATACTTTCAACAATAAAAATTTAAAAATCTACTTTGGGGATAATTTCTGCTCTTATAGTGGGATAAATAAACATAATATAAAATGTGGAAAAATAATGAAAGAAGTGGTAATGGAAAATTGAAAAAATTTTATTTTAATTCCTTTTTCCTTCACCCCAAGAACAAGATGAATTTTCCTTTTCTCACCATGCAAACACTTTATTTTTTTTCTGATTCCAGAATTTTTATTTAAAATTATTCTAAAAATTATTTTAATCTTTACCTGAGGATATGTTTTTATTAATTTTTTTTAACATGCAAACACATTAAATAAACAAACAAGAATCTTAGCCCTGGCTAAAGTAGACTTCTCTGCTGAGTCATATCTTCACCTGCAGATGCTGTGCTGAACAGATGGCATAAAGAATCAAACCTACCCTGCTACCTAGACCAGGCATGAGACCCTTCTCAGCATGGCACCTCCCATGAGTGTCTATATCACTCTCATATAAGGTCACCTGTATGCATAAAAGTGACACAATACACTCAGTTTAGAATTGCTTCCTTGTCCTCTGACGGGTGAAAGAGCTTCTTAAATATAGAATTCCTACACTTCCATGTGAACTGACAGTGGCCTATTTATTTTATTCATCAGCAGTGGTCCTAGTTTCATCTTCATTTAG